GGGGGGGACCCCAATAATGGGGGGTGATGGGGAGGGGATATAGGGCAGGAAATGGGGGGGACCCCAATAATGGGGGGTGATGGGGAGGGGATATAGGGCAGGAAATGGGGGGACCCCAATAATGGGGGGTGATGGGGAGGGGATATAGGGGAGGAAATGGGGGGGGACATGGGGAGGGGATATAGGGCAGGAAATGGGGGGGACCCCAATAATGGGGGGTGATGGGGAGGGGATATAGGGCAGGAAATGGGGGGGGGACCCCAACAATGGGGTGGATATGGGGGGGGACACGCCGGGACTGTACGGAACCGTACGGCAGCACCGCCCCATGGGCGCCGCCATCTTGGCCCGGCGCGCCGCGATGTCGTCACGCTTCCTTTCCGCCACAAGCCACGCCCCCTCCTAAACCACGCCCCCCCATCCCTAAGCCACGCCCCCGCAGCCGCTCCCGTCGCCGCCGGCGCTCCCGCAGGTACCGGGACCCCCCCCGAGCCCCCCCATTGGTCCCTTCCCGACCCCCTGAGCCCCCCCATTGGTCCCTTCCTGACCCCCCGAGCCCCCCCATTGGTCCCTTCCCGACCCCCCGAGCCCCCCCATTGGTTCCTTCCGGGTCTGTTCCCCCCCCCCCCGGGGCTCAATGACTCAGCCCCGGGCCCGGATGTCCGAGCACGGGAGGGTCCATAGGGGCCGGGGGGGGGGGGGGGGAGGTCCCATAGGGCTCAATGGGAGGGGGGGGGGGGTTGTGGGGCTCGGAGGGGTCTATAGGGCCTGGAGGGGGGGGGGGAGGCTACAGGAAATGGGGGTTTGTAGGGGGTGGGGGGGTCTATAGGGGATGTGGGGGGGTCTATAGGGGATGGGGGGTCTATAGGGAATGGGGGGGTCTATAGGAGGTGGGGGGGATCTATAGGAGGTGGGGGGGATCTATAGGGTCTAGCGGTATCTCTAGGGCATCACTTAACGTTGTTCTCTCCTTTCCTTCCAGCTGCTCCAGTGCCCCCTATCGGCCCCATAGCTCCCTATCGGCCCCATAGCTCCCTATCGGCCCCATAGCCCCCTATCGGCCCCATAGCTCCCTATCGGCCCCATAGCCCCCTATCGGCCCCATAGCCCCCCATTGAAGGGCCATGTTCCTGGTCAAGGGGCTGCTGAGTGGGGGGGGCGGAGGCGGAGGAGGGGGGGGGCTCCCCGGGGGGCTTGGCCCAATGCTGGGGGGGCTCCTGAGCGGGGGGGGCGGAGGAGGCGCTGGGGGGGCCATGAGGGTCCTGGGGGGCGTCATCAGCGCCATCAGGTGAGGACATGGGGGGCAATGGGGGGCAATGGGGGGAATGGGGGGCAATGGGGACATGGGGGGCAATGGGGATATGGGGGCAATGGGGGGCAATGGGGATATGGGGGGCAATGGGGATATGGGGGGCAATGGGGGGCAATGGGGACATGGGGGGCAATGGGGGGCAATGGGGATATGGGGCAATGGGGGGCAATGGGGATATGGGGGGGTAATGGGGATATGGGGCAATGGGGGGCAATGGGGACTTGGGAGGCAATGGGGACATGGGGGGCAATGGGGGGCAATGGGGACATGGGGGGCAATGGGGGTCAATGGGGACATGGGGACAATGGGGATATGGGGGGCAATGGGGACATGGGGGTCAATGGGGGGCAATGGGAGGCAATGGGGACATGGGGGGCAATGGGGGGCAGTGGTAATGGGGGGCTGCCCCCAGCTCCCTCTGACCCCCCCCGTGCCCCCCAGTGAAGCAGCCGCTCAGTACAACCCCGAGCCCCCCGTAAGTGACCCCTGACCCCCCCCCTCCCCCCCCCAACCCCCATTTTGGGGTCCCCCCGTTCGCAATGGGGGGGAGGGGGGGCATTGACCCCCCCCATTGTGCCCCCCATCCCCAGCCCCCCCGGACCCACATCTCCACCGTGGACGCCAATGAGAGCGAGGAGGTGCGGCAGTTCCGGAGGCTCTTCGTGCAGCTCGCCGGGGACGTGAGTGGCGCCGGCCCCATGGCGCCCCATAGGGGCCTATTGCATCCCATTGAATCCCCATTGCACCCCATTGCACCCCATTGCGTCCCATTGCATCCCATTGCATCCCATTGCGTCCCATTGCATCCCATAGGGGCCCATTGAATCCCCATTGCATCCCATTGCATCCCATAGGGGCCCATTGCACCCCATAGGGTCCCATTACATCCCCATTGCATCCCATTGCATCCCATAGGGGCCCATTGAATCCCCATTGCATCCCATAGGGGCCCATTGCATCCCCATTGCACCCCATTGCATCCCATAGGGTTCCATTGAATCCCCATTGCGCCCCATAGGGGCCCATTGAATCCCCATTGCGCCCCATAGAGTCCCATTGAATCCCAATTGCATCCCATTGCACCCCATAGGGTCCCATTGAATCCCCATTGCACCCCATTGCATCCCATAGGGGCCCATTGAATCCCCATTGCATCCCATAGGGTCACATTGCACCCCATTGCACACCATAGGGGCCCATTGCATCCCATTGCATCCCATAGGGGCCCATTGAATCCCCATTGCACCCCATTGCATCCCATAGGGGCCCATTGCATCCCATTGCATCCCATAGGGTTCCATTGAATCCCCATTGCACCCCATAGGGGCCCATTGCATCCCCATTGCACCCCATAGGGGCCTATTGCATCCCCATTGCACCCCATTGCATCCCATAGGGGCCCATTGAATCCCCATTGCATCCCATTGCATCCCATAGGGGCCCATTGAATCCCCATTGCATCCCATAGGGTCCCATTGAACCCCATAGGGTCCCATTGAATCCTCATTGCGCCCCATCGGGTCCCATTGAATCCCCATTGCACCCCATAGGGTCCCATTGAATCCCCATTGCATCCCATAGGGTCCCATTGAACCCCATAGGGTCCCATTGAATCCTCATTGCGCCCCATCGGGTCCCATTGAATCCCCATTGCGCCCCATAGGGTCCCATTGAATCCCCATTGCATCCTATAGGGTCCCATTGATTCCCCATTGCACCCCATAGGGTCCCATTGCACCCCATAGGGTCCCTTTGAATCCCCATTGCACCCCTGTTGGAACCCATTGGATCCCATTGGATCCTATTGGATCCCTATTGATTCCCCATTGCATTGCTGTTGGAACCTATCATATCCCATTGGATCCTATTGGAACCCATCGGATCCCGTTGGATCCCATTGGAATCCTGTTGAATCCCCATCCCATCCCATCCCATTGGACCCTATTGGAGCCCATCAGATCCCATTGGATCCCATTGGAATCCTGTTGAATCCCCATCCCATCCCATTGCATCCTGTTGGAACCCATCACATCCCATTGGATCCTGTTGGAACCCATCAGATCCCATTGGATCCCATTGGAATCCTGTTGAATCCCCATCCCATCCCATCGCATCCTGTTGGATCCCATTGGATCTCTGTTTGATCCCTGTTGAATCGCAGTAGATCCCTATTGGATCCCTGTTGAATTCCTTTGGATCCCTGTTGGGTCCCTTGTGGATCCCCATTGGATCCCACCAGGACCCTTGTGGATCCCCATTGGATCCCTGCTGGGTCCCACTGGATCCCATTGGGACTCTCTTCGATCCCTTTGGGATCCCATTGGCTCAGTGCTGGAGCCCTCTTGAAGCCCATTGGATCCCAGTTGAATCCCATTGGATCCCATTGGCTCAATCCCGTTGGGATCCCATTGGCTCAGTGCTGGAGCCCTCTTGAAGCCCATTGGCTCCCACTTGAATCCCATTGGATCCCAATTGAATCCCATTGGATCCCATTGGCTCAATCCCGTTGGGATCCCATTGGCTCAGTCCTGGAGCCCTCTTGAATCCCATTGGATCCCAGTTGAATCCCATTGGATCCCATTGGGATCCCATTGGCTCAGTGCTGGAGCCCTCTTGAATCCCATTGGATCCCAGTTGAATCCCATTGGATCCCATTGGGATCCCATTGGCTCAGTGCTGGAGCCCTCTTGAAGCCCATTGGATCCCAGTTGAATCCCATTGGATCCCAGTGGGACTCTCTTCGATCCCATTGGCTCCCTAACGGATCCCATTGGCTCAGTGCTGGAGCCCTCTTGAATCCCATTGGATTCCATTTGAATCCCATTGGATCCCATTGGATCTGCCCCCATGTCCATCCCCCCCATTGGATCCCAGTTTAATCCCATTGGATCCCATTGGGACTCTCTTCGATCCCATTGGCTCTCTAACGGATCCCATTGGCTCACTCCTGGAGCCCTCTTGAAGCCCATTGGCTCCCACTTGAATCCCATTGGATCCCATTGGCTCAATCCTGTTGGCATCCCATTGGCTCAGTGCTGGAGCCCTCTTGAATCCCATTGGCTCCCAGTTGAATCCCATTGGATCCCAATTGAATCCCATTGGATCCCATTGGCTCAATCCCGTTGGGATCCCATTGGCTCAGTCCTGGAGCCCTCTTGAATCCCATTGGCTCCCACTTGAATCCCATTGGATCCCATTGGCTCAGTGCTGGAGCCCTCTTGAATCCCATTGGCTCCCACTTGAATCCCATTGGCTCTCAGTTGAATCCCATTGGATCCCATTGGCTCAATCCCATTGGGATCCCATTGGCTCAGTGCTGGAGCCCTCTTGAAGCCCATTGGCTCCCAGTTGAATCCCATTGGATCCCATTGGCTCAATCCCATTGGCATCCCATTGGCTCAGTCCTGGAGCCCTCTTGAAGCCCATTGGCTCCCACTTGAACCCCATTGGATCCCATTGGTACAGAGGGGTTGGGAGGGGCCAAGGGGGTGCTGGGGGGCAGGGGGGGTTATGGGGGGTGCCCCCCCCCCCCTTAAACCCCTTCCCCCCCCCAGGACATGGAGGTCAGCCCCACAGAGCTCATGAACATCCTCAACAAGGTCGTCACGCGCCGTAAGTGACCCCCAAGTGGGGGGGGCTTCTATGGGTCTGACCCCCATGTGTGGGTCTGACCCCCATTTGTGTGTGTGTGACCCCCATTTATGGGTCTGACCCCCATTTGTGTGTGTGTGACCCCCATGTGTGTGTGTGACCCCCATTTGTGTGTGTGTGACCCCCATTTGTGTGTGTGTGACCCCCATTTGTGGGTCTGACCCCCATTTCTGTGTGACCCCCATTTGTGTGTGACCCCCATTTGTGGGTCTGACCCCCCATTTGTGTGTGTGTGACCCACATTTATGGGTCTGACCCCCATTTGTGAGTGTGACCCCCATGTGTGGGTGTGTGACCCCCATTTATGGGTCTGACCCCCATTTGTGGGTCTGACCCCCATGTGTGGGTGTGTGACCCCCATTTATGGGTCTGACCCCCATTTGTGTGTGTGTGACCCCCATTTATGGGTCTGACCCCCATGTGTGGGTCTGACCCCCATTTATGTGTGACCCACATTTATGGGTCTGACCCCCATTTGTGGGTGTGTGATCCCCATTTGTGTGTGTGACCCCCATTTGTGTGTGACCCCCATGTGTGGGTGTGTGACCCCCATTTGTGGGTGTGTGACCCCCATTTATGGGTCTGACCCCCATTTATGGGTCTGACCCCCATTTATGTGTGTGTGACCCACATTTGTGGGTCTGACCCCCATTTGTGGGTGTGTGACCCCCATTTGTGTGTGTGTGACCCCCATTTATGTGTCTGACCCCCCATGTGTGGGTGTGTGAGCCCCATTTGTGGGTGTGTGACCCCCATTTATGGGTCTGACCCCCATTTATGGGTCTGACCCCCATTTGTGTGTGTGTGACCCACATTTATGGGTCTGACCCCCATGTGTGGGTGTGTGACCCCCATTTGTGGGTCTGACCCCCATTTGTGGGTGTGTGACCCCCATTTCTGTGTGTGACCCCCATTTGTGTGTGTGTGACCCCCATTTATGGGTCTGACCCCCATTTATGTGTGTGTGACCCCCATTTGTGGGTGTGTGACCCCCATTTATGGGTCTGACCCCCATTTATGGGTCTGACCCCCATTTGTGTGTGTGTGACCCACATTTATGGGTCTGACCCCCATGTGTGGGTGTGTGACCCCCATTTGTGGGTGTGTGACCCCCATTTCTGTGTGTGACCCCCATTTGTGTGTGTGTGACCCCCATTTATGGGTCTGACCCCCATTTATGGGTCTGACCCCCATTTATGTGTGTGTGACCCCCATTTGTGGGTCTGACCCCCATTTGTGTGTGACCCCCATTTGTGTGTGTGTGACCCCCATTTATGGGTCTGACCCCCATTTCTGTGTGTGACCCCCATTTCTGTGTGTGACCCCCATTTGTGTGTGTGACCCCCATTTATGGGTCTGACCCCCATTTGTGGGTGTGACCCCCATTTGTGGGTCTGACCCCCATTTGTGGGTCTGACCCCTATTTGTGTGAGACCCCCATTTATGGGTCTGACCCCCATTTGTGGGTCTGACCCCCATGTGTGGGTGTGTGACCCCCATTTATGGGTCTGACCCCCATTTGTGGGTCTGACCCCCATTTGTGGGTGTGTGACCCCCATTTCTGTGTGACCCCCATTTATGGGTCTGACCCCATTTGTGGGTCTGACCCCCATTTGTGTGTGTGTGACCCCCATTTGTGTGTGACCCCCATTTGTGTGTGACCCCCCATTCGTGTGTGACCCCCATTTATGGGTCTGACCCCCATTTATGTGTGTGTGACCCCCATTTGTGGGTCTGACCCACATTTGTGTGTGTGACCCCCATTTGTGTGTGTGTGACCCCCATTTGTGGGTCTGACCCCCCATTTGTGTGTGTGTGACCCCCATTTGTGGGTCTGACCCCCATTTGTGTGTGTGTGACCCCCATTTGTGTGTGTGTGACCCCCATTTGTGGGTCTGACCCCCCATTTGTGTGTGTGTGACCCCCATTTGTGGGTCTGACCCCCATTTGTGTGTGTGTGACCCCCATTTGTGGGTCTGACCCCCATTTGTGGGTCTGACCCCCCATTTGTGTGTGTGTGACCCCCATTTATGGGTCTGACCCCCATTTGTGTGTGTGTGACCCCCATGTGGGTGTGTGTGACCCCCATTTGTGGGTCTGACCCCCATTTGTGTGTGTGTGACCCCCATTTCTGTGTGTGACCCCCATTTGTGTGTGTGTGACCCCCATTTGTGGGTCTGACCCCCATTTGTGTGTGTGTGACCCCCATTTATGGGTCTGACCCCCATTTGTGGGTGTGTGACCCCCATGTGTGGGTCTGACCCCCATTTGTGGGTCTGACCCCTATTTGTGTGTGTGAGACCCCCATTTATGGGTCTGACCCCCATTTGTGAGTGTGACCCCCATGTGTGGGTGTGTGACCCCCATTTATGGGTCTGACCCCCATTTGTGGGTCTGACCCCCATGTGTGGGTGTGTGACCCCCATTTATGGGTCTGACCCCCATTTATGGGTCTGACCCCCATTTATGTGTGTGTGACCCCCATTTGTGGGTCTGACCCCCATTTCTGTGTGACCCCCATTTGTGTGTGTGTGACCCCCATTTATGTGTGTGACCCCCATTTGTTGGTCTGACCCCCATTTGTGTGTGTGTGACCCCCATTTGTGTGTGTGTGACCCCCATTTATGTGTGTGACCCCCATTTGTGTGTGACCCCCATTTATGGGTCTGACCCCCATTTGTGGGTCTGACCCCCATGTGTGGGTGTGTGACCCCCATTTGTGGGTCTGACCCCCATTTCTGTGTGACCCCCATTTCTGTGTGACCCCCATTTATGTGTGACCCCCATTTGTGTGTGACCCCCATTTATGGGTCTGACCCCCATTTGTGTGTGTGTGACCCCCATTTATGTGTGTGACCCCCATTTGTTGGTCTGACCCCCATTTGTGTGTGTGTGACCCCCATTTATGGGTCTGACCCCCATTTGTGGGTGTGTGACCCCCATTTTCGTGTGTGTGACCCCCATTTGTGTGTGACCCCCCATTTGTGTGTGCCCCCCATTTGTAGGTCTGACCCCCATTTGTGGGTGTGTGACCCCCATTTGTGTGTGACCCCCATTTGTGGGTGTGTGACCCCCATTTATGGGTCTGACCCCCATTTCTTTGCCCCCCATTTCTGTGCCCCCCATTTCTGTGTGACCCCCATTTAAGTGTGACCCCCATTTCTGGGTGTGACCCCCATTTCTGTGCCCCCCATTTCTCTACCCCCCCCATGCAGGAAGGCGCGGGGCAGCACAACCCCATAGTAGCCACCAGAGAATCCCCATTGAGAAAACAGCCCCATGGGGGGGGGGGGGTTGGGTTCAGGGCTCAAAGAGGGGGTGGGGGAGGGGTGGGGGGTTCCCCCTCCCCCCCCCCCAAAATCACCCCCCCCTCCCCAGACCCTGACCTGAAGACCGACGGCTTCGGCCTCGACACGTGCCGCAGCATGGTGGCTGTGATGGATGTATCCTTATGTGGGGCAGGGGGTGTGGGGCGCCCCATGGCGGGTGTGGGGCGCCCTATGGGGGGTGTGTGGGGTGCGCCATGGTGGGTGTGTGGGGTGCTCCATGGGGTGTGTGGGGTGCACCATGGGGTGTGTGTGTGGGGTGCCCCATGGCGTGTGTGGGGTGCCCCATGGGGTGTGTGGGGTGCCCCATGGGGAATATGTGTGGGGTATATGTGTGGGGTGCCCCATGGCGTGTGTGGGGTGCCCCATGGGGTGTATGTGGGGTGCCCCATGGGGCGGGTGTGTGGTGCCCCATGTGGTGGGGTGGTGTGTGTGGGGCGCCCCATGGTGTGTGTGGGGTGCCCCATGGGGTATGTGTGGGGTGCCCCATGGGGTATGTGTGGGGTGCCCCATGGCGTGTGTGTGGGGCGCCCCATGGTGTGTGTGGGGTGCCCCATGGGGTATGTGTGGGGGGTATATGTGTGGGGTGCCCCATGGCGCGTGTGGGGTGCCCCATGGTGCGTATGTGGGGCACCCCATGGGGTATATGTGTGGGGTGCCCCATGGGGTGTGTGTGGGGTATATGTGTGGGGTGCCCCATGGGGCGTGTGTGGGGCGCCCCATGGCGTGTGTGTGTGGTGCCCCATGGGGCGTGTGTGGGGTGCCCCATGGCGTGTGTGTGGGGTGCCCTATGGGGGGTGTGAGGGGTGCCCCTTGGGGTGTGTGGGGCACCCCATGGGGTGTGTGTGGGGCGCCCCATGGCGTGTGTGTGGGGTGCCCCATGGGGAATATGTGTGGGGTGCCCCATGGGGTGTGTGTGGGGTGCCCTATGGGGAATATGTGTGGGGTGCCCCATGGCGGGTGTGGGGTGCCCCATGGGGTGTGTGTGGGGTGCCCCATGGGGTATATGTATGGGGTATATGTGTGGGGTGCCCCATGGCGTGTGTGTGGGGCACCCCGTGGGGTGTGTGTGGGGTGCCCCATGGGGTGTGTGTGGGGTGCCCCATGGCATGTGTGGGGTGCCCCATGGGGTATATGTGTGGGGTGCCCCATGGGGTGTGTGTGGGGCGCCCCATGGGGTATATGTGTGGGGTGCCCCATGGGGTATGTGTGGGGTATATGTGTGGGGTGCCCCATGGGGTGTGTGTGGGGTGCCCCATGGGGTATGTGTGGGGTGCCCCATGGGGTATATGTGTGGGGTGCCCCATGGGGTATGTGTGGGGTGCCCCATGGGGTGTGTGTGTGGTGCCCCATGGCACATGTGGGGCGCCCCCCATTGTCCTTGACCCCCTGCCCCCCAGAGTGACACCACCGGGAAGTTGGGCTTTGAGGAGTTCAAATACCTCTGGAACAACATCAAGAGGTGGCAGGTGTGGGGCTGGCACCCCCTAAACGGGCAATGGGGGCGATGGGGGGCAATGGGGAGCAATGGGGGTGATGGGGGTAATGGGGGTGATGGGGGCAATGGGGTAATGGGGGTTATGGGGGTAATGGGGGTGATGGGGGGCAAGGGGGAGCAATGGGGAGCAATGGGGGTGATGGGGGGCAATGGGGGCAATGGGGGGCAATGGGAATCAATGGGGGGCAATGGGGGGCAATGGGAATCAATGGGGGGCAATGGGGTTCAATGGGGAGCAATGGGAATCAATGGGGGGCAATGGGGGGCAATGGGAATCAAGGGGGGGCAAGGGGGTTCAATGGGGAGCAATGGGAATCAATGGGGGCAATGGGAATCAATGGGGAGTGATGGGGGGCAATGGGAATCAATGGGGTTCAATGGGGTTCAATGGGGGGCAATGGGGGCAATGGGAATCAATGGGGGGCAATGGGAATCAATGGGGGCAATGGGGGGCAATGGGAATCAATGGGGAGCAATGGGGGGCAATGGGAATCAATGGGGGGCAATGGGGGGCAATTGGAATCAATGGGGAGCAATGGGGGGCAATGGGAATCAATGGGGGGCAATGGGGGGCAATTGGAATCAATGGGGAGCAATGGGAATCAATGGGGAGCAATGGGGGGCAATGGGGGCAATGGGGAGCAATGGGAATCAATGGGGGGCAATGGGGAGCAATGGGAATCAATGGGGGGCAATGGGGTTCAATGGAGGGCAATGGGAAGCAATGGGGGGCAATGGGGAGCAATGGGGGGCAATGGGAAGCAATGGGAATCAATGGGGGGCAATGGGGAGCAATGGGGGGCAATGGGGAGCAATGGGGGGCAATGGGGGGCAATGGGAATCAATGGGGGGCAATGGGAAGCAATGGGGAGCAATGGGGAGCAATGGGGGGCAATGGGAATCAATGGGGGGCAATGGGAAGCAATGGGGGCCAATGGGAGTCGATGGGAATCAATGGGGTTCAATGGGGGGCAATGGGAATCAATGGGGAGCAATGGGAATCAATGGGGGGCAATGGGGGTCAATGGGAATCTATGGGGAGCAATGGGAATCAATGGGGAGCAATGGGGTTCAATGGGAGTCAATGGGAATCAATGGGGTTCAATGGGGGGCAATGGGAATCAATGGGAATCAATGGGGAGCAATGGGGGGCAATGGGAATCAATGGGAATCAATGGGGAGCAATGGGAATCAATGGGGGGCAATGGGAATCAATGGGGAGCAATGGGGGGCAATGGGAATCAATGGGGGGCAATGGGGTGCAATAGGAATCAATGGGAGCAATGGGAATCAATGTGGGGCAATGCCCCCCCCCAGCCCCACTGGGGGGGCAATGGGGCTAAAAGGGGGTGCATGGGGGTCCCATCCATCCCCCCCCCCCCCCCAGGGTATCTATAGGGCGTTCGACACCGACCGCTCGGGGACCATTGGGGTGCAGGAGCTGCCGGGGGCCTTCGAGGCTGCAGGTATGGGGCGGGCCCCATAGATGGGGGGCATTGAAGGGGGGATGTATGGGGCAGGCCCCATAGATGGGGGGCATTGAAGGGGGGATGTATGGGGCGGGCCCCATAGATGGGGGGGATTGAAGGGGGGATGTATGGGGCGGGCCCCATAGATGGGGGGCATTGAAGGGGGGATGTATGTGGCGGGCCCCATAGATGGGGGGCATTGAAGGGGGGATGTATGGGGCGGGCCCCATAGATGGGGGGCATTGAAGGGGGGATGTATGGGGCGGGCCCCATAGATGGGGGGCATTGAAGGGGGGGTGTATGGGGCGGGCCCCCCATAGATGGGGCTCATTGAAGGGGGGATGTATGGGGCGGGCCCCATAGATGGGGGGCATTGAAGGGGGGATGTATGGGGCGGGCCCCATAGATGGGGGGGATTGAAGGGGGGATGTATGGGGCGGGCCCCATAGATGGGGGGGGGATTGAAGGGGGGATGTATGGGGCGGGCCCCATAGATGGGGGGCATTGAAGGGGGGATGTGTGGGGCGGGCCCCATAGATGGGGGGCATTGAAGGGGGGATGTATGGGGCGGGCCCCATAGATGGGGGGCGTTGAAGGGGGGATGTGTGGGGCAGGCCCCATAGATGGGGGGCGTTGAAGGGGGGATGTATGGGGCGGGCCCCATAGATGGGGGGCGTTGGAGGGGGGATGTATGGGGCGGGCCCCATAGATGGGGGGCATCGAAGGGGGGATGTATGGGGCGGGCCCCATAGATGGGGGGCATTGAAGGGGGGATGTATGGGGCGGGCCCCATAGATGGGGGGCGTTGAAGGGGGGATGTATGGGGCGGGCCCCATAGATGGGGGGCGTTGAAGGGGGGATGTATGGGGCGGGCCCCATAGATGGGGGGCGTTGAAGGGGGGATGTATGGGGCGGGCCCCATAGATGGGGGGCGTAGAAGGGGGGATGTATGGGGCGGGCCCCATAGATGGGGGGCGTTGAAGGGGGGATGTATGGGGCGGGCCCCATAGATGGGGGGCGTTGAAGGGGGGATGTGTGGGGCGGGCCCCATAGATGGGGGGCGTTGAAGGGGGGATGTATGGGGCGGGCCCCATAGATGGGGGGCATTGAAGGGGGGATGTATGGGGCGGGCCCCATAGATGGGGGGCATTGAAGGGGGGATGTATGGGGGGGGTCCATGTCTATGGGGGGGCTCAAGGTCTATGGGGCTGTTGAAGGGGTTATGGGGCTGGGGGTCCATGTCTATGGGGGGGCTCAGGCTCTATGGGGCGCTCAGGCTCTATGGGGCTATGAATGGGGTTATGGGGCGGGGTGTCCATGTCTATGGGGGGGGCCCATACTCTATGGGGACATTGAATGGTTTATGGGGGGCTGAGTCTCTATGGGGCTATGAATGGGGTTATGGGGCAGGGGGGTCCATGTCTATGGGGCGCTCAGGATCTATGGGGCGCTCAGGCTCTATGGGGCTATGAATGGGGTTATGGGGGGCTGAGGCTCTATGGGGCTATGAATGGGGTTATGGGGGGCTGAGGCTCTATGGGGGGCTCAGGATCTATGGGGCTATTGAAGGGGTTATGGGGGGCTCAGGCTCTATGGGGGGGGCTCAGGCTCTATGGGGCGCTCAGGCTCTATGGGGTTATGAATGGGGTTATGGGGGGCTGAGGCTCTATGGGGGGCTCAGGATCTATGGGGCTATTGAAGGGGTTATGGGGGGCTCAGGCTCTATGGGGGGCTCAGGCTCTATGGGGGGCTCAGGATCTATGGGGCGCTCAGGCTCTATGGGGGGGCTCAGGATCTATGGGGCCGTTGAAGGGGTTATGGGGCAGGGGGTCCATGTCTATGGGGGGCTCAGGATCTATGGGGCGCTCAGGCTCTATGAGGCTATGAATGGGGTTATGGGGGCTCAGGCTCTATGGGGGGGGCTCAGGCTCTATGGGGCTATTGAAGGGGTTATGGGGGGCTCAGGATCTATGGGGGGCTCAGGCTCTATGGGGCTATTGAAGGGGTTATGGGGGGCTCAGGCTCTATGGGGCTATGAATGGGGTTATGGGGGCTCAGGCTCTATGGGGGGCTCAGGCTCTATGGGGGGGCTCAGGATCTATGGGGCCGTTGAAGGGGTTATGGGGGGCTCAGGATCTATCGGGGGCTCAGGCTCTATGGGGCTATTGAAGGGGTTATGGGGGGCTCAGGATCTATGGGGCCGTTGAAGGGGTTATGGGGGGCTCAGGATCTATGGGGGGGCTCAGGATCTATGGGGGGCTCAGGCTCTATGGGGCTATGAATGGGGTTATGGGGCGGGGGGTCCATGTCTATGGGGGGGCTGAGGCTCTATGGGGCTATGAATGGGGTTATGGGGGGCCCAGGATCTATGGGGCGCTCAGGCTCTATGGGGCTATGAATGGGGTTATGGGGGGCTCAGGCTCTATGGGGGGCTGAGTCTCTATGGGGCTATGAATGGGGTTATGGGGGGCTCAGGATCTATGGGGCGCTCAGGCTCTATGAGGCTATGAATGGGGTTATGGGGGCTCAGGCTCTATGGGGGGCTCAGGCTCTATGGGGGGCTCAGGATCTATGGGGTTATGGGGGGGGCTGAGTCTCTATGGGGCTATGAATGGGGTTATGGGGGCTCAGGCTCTATGGGGGGCTCAGGCTCTATGGGGTTATGGGGGGGGCTGAGGCTCTATGGGGCTATGAATGGGGTTATGGGGCGGGGGGTCCATGTCTATGGGGCGCTCAGGCTCTATGGGGCTATGAATGGGGTTATGGGGGGCCCAGGATCTATGGGGCGCTCAGGCTCTATGGGGCTATGAATGGGGTTATGGGGGGCCCAGGATCTATGGGGCGCTCAGGCTCTATGGGGCTATGAATGGGGTTATGGGGCAGGGGGTCCATGTCTATGGGGGGGGCTGAGTCTCTATGGGGCTATGAATGGGGTTATGGGGCAGGGGGGTCCATGTCTATGGGGCGCTCAGGCTCTATGGGGCTATGAATGGGGTTATGGGGGGCTCAGGATCTATGGGGCGCTCAGGCTCTATGGGGCTATGAATGGGGTTATGGGGCAGGGGGGTCCATGTCTATGGGGC